ACCAATTACTTGTTAAAGTTTGTACAATCAGTGGGATCAGTTGCAATGCATATATGTGAATGATAAAAGTAAATTGCACATTTGTCGAAGGAAATGTAAGGTGCTTCATGAAATGTTTTGTAAAAGATATGTTCATTAAATTTCAACATTTTCCTAATGTTCTTGTGCTTCTTTATACCAAAACAAAGGAAAGACATATTGTTTTGGTTATTTATAGCAAAGTATTGTATCATTTTAATGGTCCGGCCCACTTGACATCTACCGAGGCCGTATGTGGCCCACCATGTGAAATGAGTTTGACACCCCTGGACTACAATGTTAAGCCAGGCACTTTAGTTCCACCTTTGGCGTTGGCGACTGGGTGCAACGTTCGGAGGGGGTGGGGGGGGGGTCCAGAATCAATGCTAAAGGGGCACTGGCCCCTGTTGGCCCCTCCCCAGAACAGCCACTGGCAGTTAGCACCTTCCTCCCAAGTTCCCAAGAAACTCAGCAGCACTTTTGCCTTCAATTGTTTCACTTCACTTCACTGCTGGATCCACGTCAGTGGTTTATTTTTTTTGCTCTCCTTAAAAGAAAGGCCCTTGTTTGTCGCTTGAGCTGTCTGATGAAAACGCAATGACTTCAATGACTGGCATTTTACATCTGCTTCTTTTCTGGCAATGGTGAGAGACCTTTATCAGTATGACTTGCAGAATTTCAAAAGTGGTTAAGCGAGCTCACTGATTGTGTAAAAGACGAGTAGAGATGAGGGCAAATGTATGTGTGAAAAAACAGTTACTGTACATTGATGTGACCATTGCTTTCATCAAAGCAATCACTCACCAGCCATAACATGAGGTACCTGTCATAATCTAATTGACATCTTTTATTGGAGCTCTGTCAAAAATGTTGCATTTCCAAAGAAAATTAAAGGTCAGTGTTAAATTACATTGTCACAAATGTATTCATTTAACAATATGTTCAATATTGAAGCTGGAGTTTGCGTTGATGTCGAACTGCGTTGTGCTGAGACGTTTCTAGTATTCTGTAACCAAAATATTAAAAACACAGTCGACTACAGTCCAGTGCACTTCCACTGAAAACTCGCAATAATATTTCCTGTCTGTGCCAATCAAAACAGAGTTTTGTTATTTATTATTTTTTTTTTTAAAGGCGGAATTATTTGATACAGGCGTGACTTAGATTGAACTGTGCAGATGTATTAAATGTCGGCGCCCATCTGTGCAGTGATGCTTGGGTTGTGTGGAATACACAAACAGGCTTTAATGTGTGCATCAGCATTTGATTCCAATATATTTACATCCACTTATTTGCTCTGCTTTATGCTGTGAACCAATCTACCAAATATAGTGCCATTCCGAAGGGACACCTCAATGCGAAATATGAAGAAAGAGTTTTCTGGTGGTGGCCCGGTGGTCCAGTGGTTTGCACGTCAACTTCACAGTGCTGAGGCTGTGGGTTTGATCCCGGCTGCGGCTTTTCTGTGTGGAGTTTACATGTTCTTCCCGTGCCTGCGTGGGTTTTCTCTGGTTTCCTCCCCAAACATGCACGACAGGCTGATTGAACACTCCAAATTGTCCCTTGTTGTGAGTGTGACCGCGAATGGTTGTTCGTCTCTGTGTGCCCTGCAGCTGTCAGTTTTCCGGATTGCTTCGGAACCAAGTGGATCCCACAAGACTCGGGTAAAGATTTAACCAAAAAGTTATATTATTGAAAACCACAATACCGACAAAGTACAAGAAAGGTCGCTGGTAACTAAGTGCCAGGATAACACGAGAACACAAAGTGCTTCAAAAAGGCAAGGAAAATAAAGAACGCAAAATCGCTTGTCACCAAAAAAAAAAACAAGGCAATGACGAGAAAGATAAACAACGTGACAAAACCACTTCTTACGTTGAAAATACAACATGTGACCAAGAGCAGTATGAAACAAGATTATGAATGTCTTGATAATGAAACACTTGGTACAGGAGTTGTGAGCAAGGCTGAATGATGCGACTGCAAGTTGTCAGCATGGCTGGTCTTTCAAACGCAGCTGACCAAAATGCTGGACAGGTACCGCTCTGGAGGGAACCGCCCTTCAATCTCGCCAGAAAATGAAACACAACACAACAGAACCATGACAGCAGCCTCCTCCTCTCTTTTCCTCTTTTCGTTGAGCTCGAAGGTTCACCCAGCGAAACAGAATTATCGATTGTAACATGAACTTCTGATCCATTCTTTTACAGGCGTCCAGACGCCAACCTGTGAAACTGAAAAAAGGTCTGCGTGTCATGACGAAAAGGTTAAAACAGCAAATGGCATTTTGTGTGTGTGTGTGTGTGTGTGTGTGTGTGTGTGTGTGTGTGTGTGTGCAAAACAACCTTTTGTGACCACACATTTGTATTGTAGCCAAGTGTGTCTCTCTGCATGAATGTTTTTCTACTGCCATGACAAATCGTCACTCTCTTCTACAGGGGAGCTGCAACATCCCCTCATCCTTGTTGGATGTTTGCTATGAAACAACCATGCTGGTAAAGATAAAGATATGGAAATGGAAGTTTGTGTTTGTGCAAATACCTGTGGCTCCAATGGATGTGTGTGTGTGTGTGTGTGTGTGTGTGTGTGTGTGTGTGTGTGTGTGTGTGTGTGTGTGTGTGTGTGTGTGTGTAAGAGAGAGAGAGAGAGAGAGAGAGAGAGGGAGAGAGAGAGAGAGAGAGCGAGAGAGAGAGAGCGAGTGAGTGAGTGATAGAATTAGTGGGGTCTGAGCTGAGGTCTGGCCCCGCAGGCTGCAGGCTGGCTGCTGGCACTTTTGGAGCTATAAGAGGTAAAGCCAATTTGGACTCTCGGTGGTCATGTGACGTACACAAATCGAACTTGAAGGCGAGTGCTGAGCATCACTGTTTGAAGACGAGCACAGAAGGAGCAACAGGTGAGGAATTTCAAATCCTTTCAACGCTTGACACAAGGCCACCAGAGCCCAAATGGATTTCATTCTGCATCATTCACACATCCCGAATGTACATGCGTCGATAAAAATACTGATACGGGCCCGTGCAGTGTTTAAAGAGGCGCTCCATTTCATGAGTGGAGATTCGTCACTGTAACAAATCTCCTTCCACTAATTGTGCATCGAGCAGATGAATCTCCCTCAAGCACTCAAGTTTATTGCCTTATCATTATGAGACTAATTACAAAGATGAATTACATGCCTGCCCCCCCGCCTCCTCCAAAAAATGTGTACAAAACACACACATGTATCAATCAGTAATACTGATGATTACAATCTCGGCCAGTGATGACTACACTGTGAGCTTTCAGCATTTTGCGCTATAGTTCTGTCTTACCCTGCCTAGGACAAGGAGCAATATTTGTAACATATTCCAAGTGGCTCTTCAAAATACACCCTGGAAGTTTTATTAGACAGTAAAACCCGTGGTGAGTATTGCACCTGGGCCGTCAGTGGGGACTTAAGTGACCTAATCCCCCTCTTAATACCAACATTAAATCACAAAATAACGACAAACAATGCTATACAACTACGTATGTACATGTGTCATTAAAAAGAGACAGGCATTACACCTATTTGAGGGTGAATTCCGTTATTACTCAATCAAGAAACACAGTTACAGTACAGTACCTTTATCTTCCAAGATATCACCACCAAACAACTCCAAAACGATACAGCCATTCATAGGTCATATTCAATGTTTATCTAATAACGTTATAAAAATATAAAAACGTTCGAGAAATTACCCACCATAGACCTCCTTTCTTTGCTCTGTGCCTGTCGGTGTAACCAACAGGCACGGAGCTCGGCATACGCTGATCACGCACTGCGCGTAGGGCACCAACAGAACTGGGGTCGGGCACCAGAAAACTAGAGGTCAAAAAACTCAAGCTCGTTAAAAATGATCATAATAATAACAGGATATAATATTTATAATAAAGGTTTGTAACGTAGGCGGCACGGTGATCCAGTGGTAAGCGCGTCGACCTCACAGTGCAGAGGTCGTGGATTTGATCCTGGCTCCGGCCTTCTTGTGTGGAGTTTGCATTTTCTCCCCGCGCCTGCGTGGATTTTCTCCGGGTACTCCGATTTCCTCCCACATTTCAAAAACATGCATGGTAGGTTGATTAAACACTCAAAATTGTCCCTCGGTGTGAGCGTGAGCGCTGATGGTTGTTCGTCTCCCTGCGATTGTCCCCCGCCTACTGCTCGAAGACAGCTGGAATAAGCCCCGGCATGCCCCACGACCCTTGTGAGTATAAATCGGATCAGAAAATGGATGGATGGATGGTTTGTAAAGTACTGTATGTTCAGAAATATATGTAATGCAAAAATAACGTAGGCATATTTACGCAAAAAAAGATGAATCTCCTGTGTGGACCTCTCGTTGGTCAACCTTTGGTGCCCTCAGTCCCCTCTCTTTCATTCTCTCGTAGTTTGTTCAATTTGGAAAAGTTGTGACCGGTACATTGATTACGCTATGACAATGCAATGGAATGTTACGAGACAAAGTTGTTTTATATGCAATGACTATGCCAACATTTTGGAGGGATTCATAGGCCAAGGCCAACGTCTGCTGGTGAAACTGTAATTTTGAGAAAAACAATAGATCTTAAAGTTGTGTAGATTTCTCCCTTCATATTCACCGCTTTCACATTATGTCAGCAATGTTTATATAGTGCCCTATCAATCCTTGTCTGTGAAGGTAGAATGTTGACATAATAATAATATTGAATAACAGAATTAATTTAGAAAATGTTCGTACAGTACCATGTTTCAAAACTATATTTCACTGTTAGTAGTAGTGGCATTTATTTTTTTTAATTTTATTTATTTATTTATGATTTATTATTTATTTTTTTATTTGAGTATTTGGTGCCATTTTTAGCGTTTCATAAAGACTTAATTCTTATTATTTCTCTCTTTTTTGTGAAAGTTATTTTGTAAAATAAAGCAAAACTGACAAATACTTAGATATTGTTCATTTCTGTCAGCTGGTGCGGAGGATGTAGGGTGGCACCACCAAGCATTTATGCTTCGGGCACCAAAATGGCTGGCGCCGGCCCTCGTGACTGAGCTATAGCGCTCATACATGTTGCACAAAATGCGCTCAAAATGCCCCAAAAATCAATTTCTAGGTTGAAACCAGCTAGCAAAGGTGTTGATTGCCCTATCCTCAAAATGCCCAGTTTTTCTCAAAAAGTACTCCTTGGAAATGAATTTGTAATCGTGTCTAACATCAGTGTCAATCAATATCTATTTAGTTCAACCAATCACAGTGGGAAACATCAGACTACTGAGTTGAAGCAATCAGGATGAAAATATGCAGACATCACTATGAAGGCGCAGAATGGTGAAAACAAAATCTGATTGTGAAAAAAGAAACAGCCATTTCAATGGCACGTGTGTGTGTGTGCATGTGTGTTCAACAGTAATTGGGATGTGAAGGCCTAGGGTAGATCACATTATACGTACAGTCGAAGCTGAAATCACATTGGGCAAAAACAAAACAAAAACAAACAAACAAACAAAAAAAACCCCCAACAAAGTACAGGAAAGTCCATCAATCCGTCACTGATGGACGCCTGTTTTGCTGACCATTGACAAATGACGAAATTAAAAAAGATGACAGACTAGGAACTGATGGCGGTGGGGTTTTCTCCATCAGTGTAATCTGTCATGTTTCTGTTTGTGACCAACAGGTGGCGCTGTAGGGCTCCTGCTGCAGCTGCACACCTGTTGGTCATTATGTGATTATTGCTATAAAGGGACTCCCGGCACGACCACTCAGGGTCGGGTCATTGTTTGTTTGCTCCTGTCACGTTTCGGTCATGTTTGTTTCTAGCTCATGTCTCGTTCATGTTTCACTCTTGTTCTCGCTCATGCTCCAGTCAGAGTTAGTTTTTAGCTTCAGCCATGGTTTTTGTTTGTTACTTTGGCTTTTTGCTTTCTTCATGTCTGAGTTCTGGATTTAGTTTTTCTCTTTGTTTAAAATACAATTCGTCAAGTACACCCTAGTCCTCCCTCTCACCTGCTTTTTTTTGGGGTGCTCCATCACGAATGTGACATATCATCACTAACCGGGTCAAGTACTGACAGAAATACGCCGTGCCTGTGTTGTGTTTTGGTTTGCGGGACTGAATAAAAGCAGGATTGCCTCTATTGAGTATACAGTATATAGAAACACTTTTCGCTCCCTGCATAGTAGGTGGAAGTAGGAAGAAGAAGATGACGACGATGAGCATTTATTGAGCGGGGCAGGAGTGCAAGCGACTTGGATTGGATTTTCCCCTTGGCCATCATGCGGAACTGGATTCTGTTGAAAATAAGCCATTTTAAACCTTAAACTAAAGGTTCGGGGCATTTTAGGGGTTAAAACCGCTGCAGGTACCAATCAGCATGCTCCCACTTTACTTCACAGTTCAATAGTACAGTACCATTTTAATCACACTGGATTTTTCATCTTTTGGACTATGATGTGCTTTTCTTTTTTGGGGCTGGGCGATGGACTGACAGACTGACCATAGAAAGCGATGACGGAAGCGTGGTTAAAATCACATGACGGACTAACCGACTGATGATAACAGTTTGGTTTGCCTTGAAAACATGATGGACTGATGATGACAGATGGGTTCCCAGGCCGCTGATGATTGATGAATGACGGACCGACAAAATTTTGTAAATTGCCCACGTCTGAAACTGGATGGCACACACTATGAAATGAAGACAAAAGACTGTTGGAAATAAAGCATTCCAATTTCACGTCAATTGGAAATGTAGGTCGATGCTTTTGATAGTGTTTGGGCTAGCAGAGAAGGCCTTGATGGCCCTGACTGCATGTCACTGCAAAACACCGTAGCCCGTAGTGACCTCCGGTTTTTGTATGCTTCGGGAGAACTAATATAAAAGTATTCTAATTATATCAAATTATAATTTATGACATTAATATTGATGCAGGATGTTGGGGAAAAAAAGCACATCATGGAAACATTCTTGTTATATATGCCAATTGATGCATAGGTTCAAACTGAGTGGCTTATGTTTGATTGACTCACTGATTGATTGATTGATTGATTGATTGATTGATTGATTGATTGATTGATTGATTGATTGATTGATTGATTGATTGATTGATTGATTGATTGATTGATTCGTGTAACCCATCTCTTTCCCAAAGTCATCTGGGATAGGCTCTAGTGAAAATGGATGGATGGATAAGAGGTTGACACTATTGACTATAACTTTTCATTAATATGCACTTTGGACATCAATCTGTAGGGTTTCGGGGGGAACTCTTTTTAACACCCACTTTATGTAAATCAATATGATACAATTTCACTTCACACAAAGGATTAAAATGCTTTCACCTTACAAAAGGATGCTGATTGCAATGTTGCAACATTCTTCCTCCGTTACGGATAGATAAGGTACAGAAAATGAATACATCTTCTCATGTTTGTTATCTGTAAAGTGCACTAGATGGTTATATAGTACACGTGTTTACAGGAGAGAACAAGGGGTGTACAAACACACACGCATACACTTCCTGGAGGTGCCTGGTGGGTCACGGAGGACAACAGTGTGAGAGTGTGAGCAATAATGAGGAATGGTGCACACAGTGAGTGACAGAATCCAAATAGGAGGGGCTACCAGTTCCAAAATAACTGAACGGAAGAATAGGAGCACAAAATGTCCTCATTTTAAAGAAGTAGCCAGCTGGGCAGACCTTCTATTTAGCAGAGCTTCTATTTACCTAAATTAAACTTTGACTAAGTTCATCAAAGAGCAGCGAGCCCCTGCGGCAAATTCAGTTGTGCTCTTGATCTGCAGCGGCTAACCAATGATGAGTCCTTCATGATAACGACTCCATTAGAGCAGAGGAGAGGGAAGGATGATGATAACTGCGCGTTCCTAAACAACACGCACACTTATCTTGATGTTCCTTCCTGTCCATGTTGTCCCATTTGCCTCTGAGGCAACACTTTTATAGGGGGGGGGGGGGGGGGGGGTGTTAAGGTTACAGATTGTCCTGATGTTCAGCCAACTTTTAGTCCTGCTTGGCTATTTTCCAGACAATACTAGCTCCATGTTTTTTAGCCTTTAGTCTAAGGCAGAACAAAGGGTATCTTGGTGTCACAAAACAAATCAAAATAAATAAATGAGTTGATCATCGAAGACTTGTTTATAAGGCACATAGACGGTTTTATAGGGCGTGTGTGTGTGCATGTGTGTGTGCATGCCTGTGGGTTGCTATAGTGTGTTGGCGCCCCAGTGAACCCCCTGGGTCCCTCACGCATCCTCGGCATCACTTGGCAGGACCGTGTTCCTCATACTGAGATCCTCCAACGCACCAGCTCCATCAGTATCGAGGCAACCTTAGCCCAGAGGCAACTCCGCTGGGTCGGCCACGTCATTCGGATGCCTGGTGATCGTTTGCCTCGCCAGGTGCTCTATGGTCAGCTCTTGGCAGCCAGCAGAAAGTCTGGTGGTCCAAAGCTGCGGTACAAAGACCAGCTGAAACAGACTCTTAAGAAGTGCAACATCCAACCCAACAACCTGGAGTCAGCTGCAGCTAACCGGCCACTCTGGCGTTCCTTATGCCACAAAGGGGTCACATGCCTGGAGGAGAACCGCACCCAGCAAAGGGTGCTGCGGCGCCAGCAGAGACACCAACCTGTACACGCTGTTCCAGCTCCACCTCAGCCTCCCGATCCAGGCCTCACATGTCCTAACTGTGGCAGGATATGTGGTTCCAGAATCGGGCTTCATAGTCATTTACAGTGGCATCTGCGACAGCAAAGATGACCACTGACCAACACACCACAGCAGAAGGAAGCTACGTCATCTTCGACTACGATGGACTGCCAAGAGAGGGTTGCTATAACCTCCGCCCTCCCAAGTGAACCCCCTGCCACCCTCACGTCACCCCAGGTAAAACCGTCTCGAAGCGTTAGTGGAGAGGCAGCACTTCTTTGAAGATGCGTTGCGTTTAAAGGAGGACAAATCAGCAAGTTCCCGTGTACGAATCACGTTTAGTAGTTATGTCAGCCCATCAGCCTGGCATGCCAGTGTGCATCTTATTTACAGACATGCCCACAATTATTCAATTATTCAAAGATATGTTTGACATTTTACACACGGCTCTCGGGTAAATAATTCAGGCCTAACATTCAGAGGATAGACCTTGTCAGTGGTGGCCATGTCTGTCTGGTGAGCAGTGTGTTTAGTAGCGTGATCAAGCCATTGCAGCCACGTTGCCTCATTGACCTGCCTCTCATTGATTTTTAATGTATGTATGTCGAATGTATGATCATTAAAAATCTGAGCAGCGGCCAAAAAGGCTGCAGGACTGAAGAAAAAGGAAAAACAGCTCCTTTCTCTCTCTCTGTCGGATCACTAATTATATCTATATCCCTCTAGCCTTTCATGAGTTTTGGTGGAGTGTCAGGACGCTCTCTAATCCCAGCGACGCTCTTTACTCTGCTCGTGACGCTCATCCCCTCTGTGTCAGATGGTGAAACCCAACTAATCCCCTTGTGGCGTTGCACACGGGTCCCCAGCTGTCAGCTCCCTAGTTTGTGGCCCTGCTTAGGATGCTATTGATGTCACTTTGCCCTATCTACTTCAATAACTTTTTCTCTCGCTTCCCTGCCGCTTCCTCCTCTCTGCCGATTTGGCCTTTCCCTTTCTGTCACCTTCTTGTTGGCCGATGGTATAATTCCCAACTGGCACTGAGCGAATGCTTTTGTTGCCCCTGTTGTGTTAGCAGTCAGCATTTCTACCCTTGGTGTGTGCACATCACTGATCTGCCCTTTCCCCCCGCAAATACTTCGAGAAGAATGAATGTGCAGTGGAGGAGGTGAAGATTAATGCAGCACAGAGGACTTGGACTCACCAACAGTGAAATACACAAAAAGCGTTGACGGTATATCTAGAATCTTCAAGTTCCGTTAAGAGGGCTTAACAATACATCAGCATGCCAGCGAGTTGTTTTAATGAGAAGGAGGTGGCGGAAAGGATCCTAAGTGGGAAGGCGAGGGTGGCGAGTGAGGGGAATGATTGGTAATTTGCCATCTTTATGTCCTAAGATCCTCTCGGTAGCTTGTTGGAGCAGTGGGCTGCAAACAGATTTGCAACACCCTGGCATCGCCCACCCAGAATTATGTCCCGCTCTACTTGGCAAATTGCGGATAAGTTGAGAGTGAGAGCCCAAAATGCACAATCACTTCATCTGTGCTGGAGTAAATTGACAAAACACAACATAGTAAATGTTAATGTTGTTTGCAAAGACCCACGGAATTTTAAGGGACGAGCACTCTTAAAGGTGAAGTCAGCTCAAAAAGTTTTCCTTAATATGTTCCCTGCGGCCCTGCTAGTCTTAACGCAGTATTCTGATTAATATTGCCTTTGTGCCATATGAATTAAGATGTTAAATCCACCCATTTTCAAACAGCGGCCATTTCCCCACTTGCTGTCTATTGAAAATGACATCACAGTTGCTGAGCTTGCGACCATCACATGACCAAACGCAGAAAAATAGGTAAGCCATGATTGGTTGTTACCTGAGAGCTGAGCAACTGTGATGTCATTTTAGGTCAACAGCAGGTGACAAAAATGGCCCCGTGAGATTTTGCTGCTTAATTCATATTCCACAAACACAATATCATGCGGAATACTGCATTTAAACTAGTGGAGAAGCACAGAACATTTAAAAAAAAAAAAGAAAAAGCTGATTTCTCCTTTCAGGGAGAATGGCTTCATATTTTGCATTCCCAGAGTGAGATAAAATGTGCAGAGCTACAGAGCCCACTTTGGTTATCATCAAGACGTTTTGTCAGCAAACAGGATGTGTCTCTTCCAATGGCTTTTAGGGGGGAAATAGCGGAGCACAACACACTTAAGGACTTAAGAACAACTGAAGTCATCTCTCTAGCCGTCAGATGTTCCGTTTAAAATTCAGTTTCTCTTGACGACAAAAAATTCTTTGTGTTTCATGAGACAGTTGAAAGGGAATGTAACTAGTTGACGCAGACGACATCACCAATGTGAACATAAAATTGCTTTGATTCTTTTCCCTTGTCAGAGTGGCAATTGCTGGACAAAGAATTCATGGTGCACATTTATAAGTCCTTCATAGGCTGGACATTGTGGATTATGCCTGTCATGTCCTCTTGGTTGTTTGAATGTCAAACTGGAGGCAGACAAGCCCGTGTCTTTGGATGCTGAATGTATCTTTAAAATTGCTTGAAGTATTTTAGAAAGCTGTTTCTGGTATATTTACTAATTGAACATTGGTCAGATACACGCACACATTAGAGGTAAGATCGGGTCTAAAAAAATCCAGCCTGACCCGACCCGGCCCGCGGGTATTAAAGCCCGACCCGGCCCGAGCCTGACCAATTAACTGGATTTGCAGGCCGGAGCCCGAATCAAACCCGAAATTTCATATTTTATTTGTGAGGACTCGGGCGGAGGAGGGGTGATTCATGATAACAAATTAAAGCCTGTCTTTTGTAACGAAATCAAAGTTAAATAAGACTGTATAAACATTTACATCTTTTATATTTCTGTTTCTGCACAGGGTACATTAACCGACAATTTTCCATCATTGATGGATTTTTTTTAAGAGTTGACGGGGAAAATTTAAGGCCGTCCGTCATTTTGACGGGTTGAAAATTGGGCCATTAACCACAGCAGCAGTACATCCTTAAGAATCTAGCGCGGCACTTTTAGAGAGAGAAGCAGAGAGACAAAGAAGAACAATGATGGGTGGATAATAGACAGAGACAGGAAGGAGGTTTTTGAATTGTCATTGCAAGAGTTTAGTACAGTAC